AGCCATACACAGACTAACAAGAGCCATACACACACTAACAAGAGCCATACACACACACAACAAGAGCCATACACACACTAACAAGAGCCATACACACACACTAACAAGAGCCATACACACACTAACAAGAGCCATACACACACTAACAAGAGAGCCATACACAGATACACAGACTAACAGAGAGCAAAGTCATACACAGACACTAACAAGAGCCACACAGACTAAGAGCCATACACAGACACATAAAGTCACACAGACACTAACAAGAGCCATACACAGACACCAACAAGAGCCATACACAGACTAACAGAGCCACATAAAGTCATACACAGACACTAACAAGAGCCATACAGACTACACAGACACTAACAAGAGCCATACACAGACTAACAAGAGCCATACACAGACACATAAAGTCACACACAGACACTAACAAGAGCCATACACAGACACTAACAAGAGCCATACACAGACACACAAGAGACAGACACTAACAAGAGCCATACACAGACTAACAAGAGCCATACACAGACACCATACACAGACACTAACAAGAGCCATACACAGACACATAAAGTCATACACAGACACAACAAGAGCCACTCAACAAGAGCACATACACAGACACTAACAAGAGCCATACACACACTAACAAGAGCCATACACACACTAACAAGAGCCATACACACACTAACAAGAGCCATACACACACTAACAAGAGCCATACACAGACTAACAAGGGCCATACACAGACTAACAAGAGCCATACACACACTAACAAGAGCCATACACACACTAACAAGAGCCATACACAGACACAGAAAAATCCATAAACTACTGAACTCAAGGCACGTCCGCCACAGCCGTTCGTTCACCTTCTGTTGTGGCAAAATAGGGCGAGTCTCTCTCTCTCTCTCTCTCTCTCTCTCTCTCATTATAATTTTCTCAATCTCTCACTTTCACTGTCTCATTCTCTTCTTCATTCTCATTCATCATCATCATCATCATCATCATCATCATCTCTCTCTCTCTCTCAAGATTGATGGAATTTAAATCAATCGAATAGTAAGTAATCATCTTAGAATTTAGTGTTACTTAATCTCTCCTCTCCTCTTCATTATTACGGAGCCCCCAAGGATGAAAGTCTTATAAAATGAGTTTTTCTTACGACTGACGCCATTAGTCTTGACCCAATTCTAAAGGTTAGTTGAACTTAATAGGACCGTCCCCATCCCCTCCCTCCCCACTATCTATCTGCCATAACAAGTGGATAAATACAAACAGCTCAGTAAACATTGAGTCCAGGTACTACCCCCTTTACTAATTAACCCCAGGATCAGCCACAGGTAACCCAGAGGCAGTCACAGCAGAAAACGGGACCTCGAGTACATGGCTCACTTGCTTAACCACGCATAAATCTGAAGAACAACCCCCCTACACACACACAAACTGGGCAACCAACAACCACGTCACCATCAACCATACCAAGACCATGGTTATGCACATCAACCTCTCCCCCGACGTTGTCCCACCCCCTTCCATTACTTTAGGTCCCAACACACTCCAGGTTATAGATTCCACTAAGCTCCTCGGCGTCACCATAGACAACAAACTAAATTGGAAACCACACGTCAGTGAAGTTGTCAAATCCTCCAGTTTCCGTCTCCACCTTCTCCGCCGACTCAAGTCCCTCGGAGTTCCTGCACCCGAGCTCCTCAGTGTTTACTCAACATTCATACTTCCCAAGCTCACCTATTCCTCCCCTACCTGGTCTTCCTCCCTAAATGCCACACAACGTATACACCTAGAAAATGTGCAAAAGTGGGCATGCCAGTTTATTCTCTCCCCTTCCTACTCCACATATCAAGAAGCGCTCAACACACCGACTCTCTCGGCTCTCACTGTCCATCACCACGACCTCATCTGCAAATTTGGTGAGAAGCTTCTGCACCATCCTCGACACCGGCTCCTACTACCACCCGAGATCCCTCGTCCGAAAATTACTGTTCGACACCACAACCGCATCCAGCCCATACGGGCATGAACTGATCGCTATAAGAACAGTTCAGTCCTAATCATTGTAAAAATTATTTATAACTTGTAATCAACCAGTGTACTTACTCCCATTCAATCTTACTTTTTGCACTGTCACTATGTTGAAATGCCCTGTAGTTTGAGCTTCTCCCCACCTAGTTATTATATATCATATTTATATCACTTATGTTACTTGTATATTATTTGTAAATTATGTAACTGTATATTTTCAACCTTCCGGCTGCCATGCTCTTTCAATAAACCGTTAATAATTATTATTATTATTATTTATTATTATTATTATTATTATTATTATTATTATTATTATTATTATTATTATAATTATTATTATTATTATTATTATTATTATTATTATTTTTATTATTATTGTTATTATTATTATTATTATTATTATTATTATTATTATTATTATTATTTATTTACACACATACACACTCTCTCGAAACCCTGTACGTCCGAGGTGGGACTTTGCACAGGTCCGTCCTGTAGCCGAGACTTTCCGGAACAGAGACGTCCGCTCCCGTAAATGGAAGTCGTGAATTAATGAGTGGCTGAAAGCGGAGATATTGGAGCAGGAGTGGTTGAAGGAGGAGAAGCTGGAGAAGAAGAGGTTGGAGGAGTGGCTGAAGGCGGAAATGATAGTTGGGGGCGGTTGGAGTGGAGTAGTTGGAGGAGGATAATCTGGAGGTGAAGAGACTGGAGGAGGAGTGGTTGAAGGAGAAGAGGCTGGAGGTGAAGAGGCTGGAGGAGAAGAGGCTGGAGGAGGAGTGGTTGAAGGAGAAGAGGCTGGAGGTGAAATGGCTGGAGGAGAAGTGGTTGGAGGCGAAAATTTCAATCGGTTCCTGTTGGGAGTGGATTTTGTCGATCAGGTTCCAGGCAGGTAGGTCTCAGGCAGGTAGGTCTCAGGCAGGTAGGTCTCAGGCAGGTAGGTCCCAGGCAGGTAGGTTCCAGGCAGGTAGGTCTCAGGCAGGTAGGTCCCAGGCAGGTAGGTTCCAGGCAGGTAGGTCTGTGCAGGTGGGTTCCAGGCAGGTAGGTTCCAGACAGGTTGGCTCCAGGCAGGTAGGTTCCAGGCAGGTAGGTTCCAGGCAGGTATGTTCCAGGCAGGTATGCTCCAGGCAGGTAGGTTCCAGGTACGTAGGTTCCAGACAAGTTGGCTCCAGGCAGGTTGGTTCCAGGCAGTATATTAGTTGTCGCTGGAGATTGAAGCTGAGACAGTAAGTAGAGTCCCTAAGATTTTGTTTATTTTATCTTCTATAAAAATAAATTAGTTCGTCTATAAGAACATCGAGTGTGTGGCCAGACATCAGGTTTGTGTTCAAGGTTCTTACTGATTATCGAAAACTTAGATTAAACTACTAATATTTTTGTTTTCGTATTTAGGAAGTACTTTAGGTTATTGACAAATGTTTTATTAAGGGTTTATTCCTTTGTGGGGGAAATTTAACCTTAATTTTGGTGAAGATCTTAGACGTCAGGATGAAAAGCTTCTTGTTGGCTATTAAATTTTTTTACATGAACACTCTAATACTGGTTACCGTTTAAGATGTGTGAGTGAGGAAACTGTAGCTTGAGGCTAAAACGTAAGAAGAGCTCATTTAAATGTTAAACACCTCATTCTGGTTAATGTTTTAAGATCTTTGGGTGAAAATGGGAGACTAAAGCTGTAATGTTTCGAAGCTTCGTTGAATTGGTTAGTTTTGAAGACTTGAAAATTGTTCTGTAATACATTGATCCTTTTCCCTGGACAAGAATATAAATAACGTATTTTTTTCTTTTACGTCGAACTTCAGTTTAGTTAAAGATCAACATTTAATTATAGTAACTTTATACGATCTATATGCAGTAGTAGTCAAGTGTGTTATTAATGAACGATAGAAAGTTAAAAAAAAAAAAAAAAACGTACGCTGTAATATTATTCTTGGACAAAGTATTAAACTAATTTTTGGCTCCAAGTTACATCGTCTAATATGAAGAAAAAAAATTCACTATAATTTGATAACATAATTTAAATAGCAGTTTTTAATTTAAACTAACTGCACCTTGGGTGTCTTGTATTATGATTACCTTCAGCACATGGAGATTGGTATTATAAAACAGGATTTATTTCTAGGATGAATTATGGATAACAGTCATCTTTTTTCCTTTGATGACGTCACTGTTACCCTTGATGACGTCACTGATACCCTTGATGTCATCACTGCTACGTCATGAAAGTATTGCTGCATGTTCCCTTTTTTTGTGAGAGAAAATACATTATAGTTGTTAGCATCAAGGTTGACATCTATGGGTTATAATTATGAAAATACGTTTACCCTTGGAGTGGTCCTTGAAGCTCTGAGGTGGGACTTGAGGCAGAATCCTCGAGGCACAGGTAATGGTTCTATTGAGAGACAGCAGAGAGAGGATGATAAAGAGACGAATGAAGTGAAGGTTGGAAGGTGGCAGGGTGAGCAGGAGAGGGAGGGAGAGGTGGAGAGGAAGCGAGAGAGTTTTGATAAGGAAAAGAAGAGAGAGAGAGAGATGTTGGTAGGAAGGGTAAGAGAGTGAGGAAGAGAGAGATACTGTAGTGGAGATATGAGTGAAGACACGTGAGTGAGTGAGTGAGTGAGTGTGCACGTGCTTAACCTGCTATCACACCAAATTAATAATGGCAAGTAAAAATATCAGACTAACACAGCTCAACAAAGCATGGAGGGGACAGAACGAAAATGTTAATCTTATCCCGACCCGGCCCGTATCCCGACCCGGCCCGTATCCCGACCCGGCCCGTATCCCGACCCGGCCCGTATCCCGACCCGGCCCGTATCCCGACCCGGCCCGTATCCTGATCTACCAGGAGTCCTGACCTGACCTGGCCTGTATCCTGACCTGGCCTGTATCCTGACCCGGCCTGTATCCTGACCTGGCTCGCATCCTGACCCGGCCTGTATCCTGACCTGGTTCAGGATCCTGACCTGGCCTGTATCCCGACTCCGGCCCGTATCCCGACCTGGCCCGTATCCCGACCCGGCCTGTATCCCGACCTGGCCCGTATCCCGATCCGGCCCATCCCGACCCGCCTGTATCCCGACTCCGGCCCCTGTATCCCGGACCTGGCCAGGTATCCCGACCCGGCCCGTATCCCGACCCGGCCTGTATCCCGACCGGCCGTATCCCGACCCGGCCCGTATCCCGACACGGCCCGTATCCCGACACGGCCCGTATCCCGATACGGCCCGTATCCCGACCCGCTCAATATTCGTCTAGTATTAGGGTTTCATAGGTTAGGTTAGGTTAGGTTAGGAGCAGGCTAAGTTAAGAATAGGGAAGGTTAGGTTTGTGGGCTGGATAGGTTAGGTTAGCCTTGGTTAGGGGTAGATTAGTTTAGGTTAGGTTTAGTTAAGAGTAAGTTAAGGGTGATAGGATGGATTAGGGTTAAGCCTAGTTAGGGTTTGGTTTACTTAGGTTAGGTTAGGTTAGGTTAGGTTAGGTGAGGCGGGTAGCTTAGCTTTAGTTAGAAATAGAATTGTTTAGGCTAGGCTCCAGGTCAGTTTGTTTCATAGGTTAGGCGAGCTTTAGTTAGGATAATTTAGTCTAGACTGTGCAGGTTAGCCCGAAGGTAGACACTTGAGTGGCTAGGAGCTCCAGTGGGTAGACAATGTTGGCATACTTGCTGGAGTTCCCTCTTGAAGAATTAACTTACTTTAATAACACACACACACACACATGTAGTTCCCCTCGCGCTAACATTTTTAATTAAAACTCCTCTGTAATGGATTTGGGGCAGCTAGAAACATCATGCTATCTTTATTTAGTTTTTATTATTATTATTATTATTATTATCATTATTATTATCATTATCCATGCCACCTCACCGTCTACCACCATCTCCCACCACACCGTCTACTACCAACCCACCACACCGTCTACCACCAACCCACCACACCGTCTACCACCAACCCACCACACCGTCTACCACCAACCCACCACACCATCTCCCATCACACCGCCTGCCACCATATCACCACACCATCTCCCACCACACCGTCTACCACCAACCCACCACACCGTCTACCACCAACCCACCACACCATCTCCCATCACACCGTCTACCACCATATCACCACACCATCTCCCACCACATTGTCTACCACCCTACCTCCACACCATCTCCCACCACACCGTCTACCACCCTACCTCCACACCATCTCCCTTGCCTCCCTATGTTCATTACCATTGTGTCGTAGGCGGTAAGCTGGGGCAACTCAGCGACCTGGAATGTTTCTTGACAGGTGTGTGTGTGTGTGTGTGGTGTGGTGTGGTGTGGTGTGGTGTGGTGTGTGTGTGTGTGTGGTGTGTGTGTGTGTGTGTGGTGTGGTGTGGTGTGTGTGTGTGTGTGTGTGTGTGCGCGCGGTGACGGTTGATAGTACACACACACACACACACACACACACATACACTCTCAAAACAAAGTTGGGTTTAATTTAACTTGGTTGTAAGTCTCGGGCGACCCTCCCCCAGGCCGTGTTGAGTCACCTGTCGTGGGGGAACCAAAATATTTTCTTGGGTATTTATATTTACCTTTTACTTTTTGTACTGATTTATTTTGACTGAGTTAGTCAGTTCAGTACCGTGCTTTCCTTACTTTACTGCCTTACTGAATATTATTTTTCCATTTGAGGATGTTTTTTTAAGATTAATGTCTGTACTGGGTAATTTTGGGTTACTTGTGTGTTATTTAGATTCATATAACAGTTTATATCATTAATGTATTTATTCCTGCAACGGTTTATTTAATTATTTATTTACTTGTATATATTGTTATTTGTTTACTGATTTTGTCTTTCTTTTTTCAGGTAGGTGTTGGCAGTACTGTACCCGTGAGCCAGGAAGGGGAGCGTGTCACCTGGCCTGGTAGGTGTCAACACAGTGCCTCACCTCGTGTGGTTGTTGTACCTGGTCCACGTAGTTCCTGGGCGGGTCACGGCTTTACCTTCGTCCTCACGGGTTGTCAACATGTAACGCGAGTTCTGTTCCTTCTGCGTTCGGGGTCATATGTCTTTTGGTATTGGGGTCAGTTCAAAGGTCAAGGTCATTATTAGTACCCAAATAAGATTTAGCCCAGTAGTAGACTTGCTAGGTATGTGATGAGTTTTGAGCTACGTTTAGTCAGGTCCGATTTTCACTCATCTTAACCTGGCTAATATTTTTGTTTAATCGCATCTGAACGCTATAACTGACAACTAATTACTAACTTTGTTACTCGTGTGATGAATATTGATATGAGTAATCTGTACTCTCTGGTAACTCATCTCCGTCACTCTACCCAAAACGCCGATAAAAAAAAAAAAAATGTCGAATCGCAACCCAAAATCTCCACCACTTGAAGACTCGACTCAATCACACTAAATTGGAACCAGATTGAAGAGATGTGTTACTTCAAGTGAGATCCTCGATACACCTATTCAAGACTACCCGCTGCATCTCTTTGCCTCTCGCCTGCCGATTCAAAGACCACACCTCGCTGACTGCTTTCATACCTAACATAAAACGTAGTGAATAAGATGGGAGTCGAAATTACGCTGAGTCTTTACTTTAACTGGATGTGTTCAGTTATCTGTGGGGGCGGGGCGGGACTGGGCGGGGAGGAAGGAATTTACGTATGAACATTTTGAGTGTTCTGATGGATGGGGATGGAAGAATGGGGGGAGTGGGGAGGGACTACATAGGTATACAGATAAACAGTGAGAAAGGGAGAGAAGGAGGTAATTAGGTAGAGTTTATTAAGTAGAGAGAGAGAGAGAGAGAGAGACCAAAACAATGTACATCTAAATAATTATAATACACGGTAGATAGTGAGAAAGAATAAGATACTGAAGGCAGAGATAATAATGTAAGAGCAGAAAGAATAATGAGAGAAACCTGATGGAAGAAGTTGACGTATCCAAATGTGTGTACGTGAACCACTACCATCACCGCCACCAATAACAACAACACCGCCGCCACCACCACCATCACTCACCATCAACAACAACACCACTACAACGCCACCAATAACAACAACACCGCCGCCCACCACCACCATCACCATCAACAACAACACAACACCAATAACTACAACACCGCCACCAATAACAACAACACCCACCAACAACAACACCGCCACCAATAACAACAACACCGCCGCCACCACCACCATCACCATCAACAACAACAAAACACCAATAACTAACACCGCCACCAATAACAACAACGCCCAATAACAACAACACCAACATAACAACATACGCCAACATCAACAACAGCACTTTATAAAAACAACAACAACACCGCCACATAACAACAACACAACATATCCAACAACAACACCATAACAACACCACACCACATAACAACAACAAACAAAAACAGACAACACCCACCAACAACAACGACAAGCCAAACCACCATACACAACAACACCGCCACCAGCAACAGCCGCCACAAATCCAACAACAAACACCCACCAACAACCAACAACGACACGACACACAATAACACAACACAACACACGCCAAACAATAACACAAACTTCATAACAACAACACGCAAACAACACAACAACACCATCACAACAACAAAACCAAAACAAAATAATAACCAAACAACCACACACCAACCAACAAAGCAAAATCAACAACAACATCCTTAACAACAACGCTCTACCACCACCACCACCAGCAACAACGCCATCAACAACAACAACACCAACAAAACAACACCACCACACAGCAACAACAAAACCACACACACCGCCACACAACAACCAACCTCAACAGCAACAGCACCCAACACAAACGACACCACCACACCACCAAGCAACAACAACACCATCAACAACAACACACGCAGCAAGCCGACAACCACCACCAAAACCCAACACAAAACACACCACCAAACCAGATGACACCTCCACCAGCACTACCCACCACTACAGACAGCGCACCACCCGCATAGCAACACCACACTACTAACAACAACACCACACACCACCACAACCACCACCAACAGCAACAACCACAACAACAACAACCAAGCAAAACCACCACCCACCATACCAACAACAACAACCTCACAACAACAAATGGGTGTCTAAATATTTAGTACAGGTAAAGTGCACTGGAAGTCGAGGCTCTGAAAAATAACCCAGTTTTTTGTTGTAGCTTTTTTGGTTTTCTTTATTAAGTTAAACCTTTCTGTCAGTTTTGCCTGGAGGGGATATTGTCCTCCCTCCCCATCATCCCTCAATTCCTTCTACCTCCTCTCCCCATTTCCCAATACTTTTCTCTCCAATCCCCAGTACCGTTTACCCCAACTCCCTAACCCCGCCCCTAACCCCCCTCCCTACAATACCGTCGCTAGTGCCCGTCGCCTCCATCGGGTATATGGATCTAAAACCCGCGCGTCTGTCTGGGTGTGGTTGTGCTTGCATCCGTCCGTCCGTCCGTCCGTCCGTCCGTCTGTCGATTCGGGGATCTTGTCCACGCGATAACTTGAGCCATTGTTGATGGATTTCGACGAAGCTTGGTTGGTGGATGTGTTTCGACAAGACCTCACATAAGTTCGATAATCTGCTTTTTATCTAATTACAGATTACTACCCCATCCTGTCAGTCTTATTTGATCGTTATTGTGTTTAGAAGAAAGAGAGATATGTGTGTGTGTAGAGGCAGAGACAGATATGTGTGTATATGACGTGGAAAAGTTAGGAGATGTGTACAGAGTTTGGAGAGTTGAGGTAGCCGTGAGAGGTATGGCGGGGTGAACTCTGTCTCCTCGTAGAGAGAGTGAGAGACTCTCTATTATATCAACCCACGACCCCTCACCACCCACCCGCCCTCACCACCCACCCACCGCCCTCCCACCACCACCACCACGCCCCTCCACCACCCACCACGCCCCTCACCACCACCCACCCCGCCCCTCCCACCACCACCCACCCCACGCCCCTCACCACCACCCACCCCGTCTCTCACCACCACCCACCCCGTCTCTCACCACCACCCACCCACGTCTCTCACCACCACCCACGCCCCTCCACCACCGCCCTCACCACCACTCACCCACCACTCCACCCACGCCCCTCACCACCCACCCAAGACCCTTACTTCCCACCCAAGCACACCGTACCACCTATCCACCCACAGCCCTCCACCACCCACCGACGCCCCTCACCACCACCCACCCACGCCCCTCACCACCACCCACCCCGCCCCTCACCACCACTC